TTGTTTTAATAAATTTCTAAATTAATAATTTTTTTCAATCACAACAGGTCCCCTTACACAGATCTTTAGCCGTTATAATTATAATTATATTATAACGTTTCCGGGATGGACCGCTGGGCGGCGATCTGGTTTTACAGGGATTTTTTTTTCCCCTGAGAGGTTTTATAACAATTTTTAAAGAGAATTTTTGGCGGTTAGAACATTTTTAAACAATATAAATAGACTATTTTGACTAGTAATAAAAACATGAGCACAATGAAACAATTAAATAAAAATATTGTTAAATAGATCTTACCAGCTTAAATAAACCCGTTAGACTATATACCTTTATAAATCTAAACAAACATTTCATATAAATTATTTAAATATATACATTATAACTTAGACTAGATATTTCATATAAGTAATTCAATTTTATACTCATATAAACATGGGAATAATGAAAACAAAATAAACAACTTAATTTACTCAAACATGCTAGCTTAAATAACCTTAACGGACTATATATATTTATAACTTTAAATATAACTTCTCAAATATATAATTTAACTATGTACATAATAACATAAAAACAAGACATTGCATTTAAACAATTCGATTATATACATATACAATTATTTATAAAATGAATATATTGACTAGGGAATTAACATAGAGATCATAAAAACATACGAATAACAAACCTAACTTCTTAATACTACCAGTTTAAATACATGATTAAACCTTATACATTTATTTTAAACTACCATTTTAAATAAATAATTTAACTATATACATTCATAATTTACACAATCAGTTCAAATAAATAGTTCACTAAGAGTAATTAAATTTGTACATTGAAGTTGTTTATTTACATACATAAAATTAAAAGCCCTTGTGGGAATTTTTTTATTATCGATGATTTTCATTTTGATTTTGTGAACTGTGTTTAGTTTTTTTTCATAGACATACTTTATAAACTCTTTATAATTGTGTTTGTTCTTTGTCAGTTCTACCAATTTACTTTCGTCATCTATTTTTGTTTTTATTTCCATTTCTATTATTCTTCTTTTATGGTTATAAACTTCGCAATTCGTCACAATATGTTCAGCACTTTCTATTTCCCCACATTGGCATAAATTGGTATTTTTTAACTTGTAATTATATAAATATTTATTAAATTCTCCATGCCCTGTTAAAAACTGGGTAGTAATATAATTTGGTTGAATAAAATTCCCGTTTTTGATTCTTGATTTAATGCATGGCAAGAATTTATAAGTAGTTCGCCCTTTTATGCTTGCACTCCATCTTGCTTGCCATTTTGTTATAATTTCGTTTTCTAATTCTTTAATTTTTTCACTATAATTATTCCATGTTGTTTTCCTTAATTTGTGAATCTCTATTTTTTTAAGGAGTTCTAAGTCAATTTACTCGCTACCAGCTCGAAAGTCCCTGATCACACTAATTCGCTTATCCGCGTTGTTTCTGTCAGATTTTACATTTTTATAGAACAATCTACATCCACTTAAAATGACAGCTACTACAAAACTATTTTTCGAACTTTTTTACAAGAAAAAAAAAAACCTTAGCGATACTTTTTAAACACCATCCAGCAGACACGATTTGAGAAAACATTTAGGCCGCTGTACCGGCCACTGCCCTCTTAGCTATCATGTGAAAAAAAGGACAGAACCGAGACTTGCCATGCCAACTTTGTCATTATGAGCCAGGGATATCGGCACATAACGTTTGTTTACGTGAAGCAATAGCCCAGACACTTCTGTAGACAATTCTCACAAGAAAAGAGAACGAAGCACGAAGTGGCATCAAGAAAAGTGCTTATCCTTATAGGAAAAGTGCATTTTTCAAGGTATAGCTATAATTTATGGGGATTCCAAGAGCTATTTAGGTCGCGGAGGAAAGGTTTAACCAACTCCCCCTCCCACCTAAAAAAAATGTAATAAGTTATTTTAAAACAAATTATTTATTTTGCTGAATTTATAAATTTCTATAATTTTTAATTTATAATAAAATGGCACAACTAATTTAAATGGTGCATAATTAATCAATGAGGGCATCCCCAAAGTCCTCTTAGTTTTAAACAATATCCCAGAGGGTCCTCCTTTCCGGTGGAAAACGGCCCGACCCCGCGGTGGACCGTAAATAAATAAAGCAGAGAACCTGTAGACAAAGGACTGTTTCATTAAATTACCCGGGACCCGAAAGTACTTTCCCAAGGACGTCACACCGGAAAAGATTAATTTATTCACCGCCAGCGGCAGAGGGCGGGATATGAGGAGGATGTTATCGCGAGGTAGAACGCCGCCGATTCCGATTCTCAGGGGGGGCGGAAAAGAGATTACCGACCCTTGAAATATGGTATTGAAATATACCGTAGACGCTCACATGCAAAAACGAGAGAGAGAGAGAGAGAGAGAGAGAGAGAGAGAGAGAGAGAGAGAGAGAGAGAGAGAAGCAGTGTGCGTGTGTGTGAGAGAGAGAGAAAGAGAAATAGACGGAAAGATAAAAAAAGAGCAAAAGTGATAGGGCACCGTAAATTCCTGGCTAATCTTACCCTAAATCATGTGAAGTCCAGCATGTAATTGATGTAAAAATAATGGGATTTTCCTAAAATATTGCTATGCATTCCCTTTACAAATGGAACGTATAATGTCTGTCGATGCGTTTGGGTTTTGAATTTATTTTAGATTTCTGTTGTAAACGACAAATTGCACTTGAAAATCACTTATCCGCCTATCTTGCCTAAACCACAGCTGGTTCCTTTTTCTGCAGCCTTTTTATGTAATCTACAGAAACCTACAAACCTTCACGAGCTGCAGAGAAATCGTCGTCGATGACATCAGTCTGTGCGGCAATTCTCCCATAAAGATTATCGAGTTCTCGACCAGAGTCCGATTGCACACGACAGAACAGCTCATGAAGTTGACGTCATGAAGAATGAAGAAGAAAATTCGAACTCAAACTACATGCTCACAGAACCCTGGGCAATACCACTATCGATTGTACCATGTATACTTTTCATATCACAGACGAATGTTAAACAAAATCGTCGTCAATTATTACTCAAAATAAATCTCATGCGTTATTCTGTCTGTTTTATACCAAAATAAAATTTGATACTCAGTCAGTGTCTCATTTTAACTCTGTACAATAAATTAAAAGCGACTCGCTGGTTTAAAATAATTAACTACTATGTTGACAATCCTTATTTTAATCAGAATCAACTTTTATTTACAAAGTTACATGACTCGGCATAATAGACTCTTTCATATTTCTTACCGTTTTACTAGCTATAGTATAAATGCTCCTATTGACAGAATTTTGCCTTCCGTCAATAACTTTCCTCTATTATTACAAACATTTTAAGGTATATTTTCTTTAATAATTTCTCAACTCCCTGTTTAAAATAATATAATTTTTTACATATCTTTAATCTTTAAGTAAGGTATTGGTTTAGATAAAAAAGTCAGCGTCACGAGCGGGATTCGAACCCATGACCTTCGGCTAAATACGCCGCTGCTCTACCACTTGAGCTGTCGTGACTTCGATCCACTCGGACAACGAATTCCCACCTCATCCCCTCCTAATTTTCCCTTCTTTTTGCTATTTTTCAAATGTCGTGTAATTTATTTGACTCTCTGCTAGCCGAAAGTCATGGGTTTGAATCCCGCTCGTAACGCTGATTTTTTTTATCTCAACCAATACCTTACTTAAAGATTAATTAATTGAAAAAATTTATTTGGTCAAAAAAAAACAACTATTGTTTCTAAATCAATCCGATACTTTCAGCATTTGTTGTTTTGTAATTTACGCCTTGAGCTGTAATTATTTGTTGATATACACCTGGACTATGTATCATTTTATCATGTTTTTATTATGTAAAAAAGATATTGCATCAATTATGGATACTTTACTAATAAGTTTTTTGCAAATAAAAGTACAATGGACTGTATTATTTATCTTTGAAACGATGGTGACAATGAAATGGTAATGAAAAGGTAAATAAAAGTAAGGAGGGATAAAATTAACTGATTTAATTATTTTTGAAAGTTATAGTTTCGGTTATTTAATTTAAAAGGTTTTTCTTGAGAACAGCTGAAATAATATGAAGGGATTTAAAACGAATTCATGAATCTACAAAACATATGTCTTAATATTAAATTTTATTTTTTGATTTATTTATTTTTATTTTTTTATATTTTTTGGGGGGTTTACGCTGGCATATTACCCATTTCATTTAATTTATTCACTGTAATATGCCATTTTTCATGACAGATTTAATAACTTGAATAAAACATTTAAAATAATTAAATTCCTATGCAATAAAGGCTTCAGAAATGTTTACAAAGCTAAAATAATCTATCTTGGATAGATGCCAGAAATGAAATAACGACATTTCATTGGATTTTCAATTTAAGCATGCAGATACAATGTTTATCTTGTCTTTATATCCTTTTAATGGGTTCGGCAAGCCATCTGTAAGTTACAGAATGTGAAAGTTCCGCCTTTGTTTTTCTTCTAAAAAATCGAAATATCTAAGTAAAATCGTCTCGGCGTAGGGGAGGATTTAACCTATCCTACTTCCTTCAGGCGATGTTTGTGGGTATTAATTATCAGTCTGCGTATTGATGGATGGGTTGGTTGAAATTTGTGTTACAAATTCTTAATCGATTGATCGATCCTATTACCGCGAATAGGGATTTTAGCGTGGGGATTGATATCAACGTACACAAGGGGATGAATTAGCTATGCATCGAAGGGATCCTTAACATCATTACTGAGACATTTCTCAATAATTATTACACCTTAGAAATTAATTACATTAACTTTTCAGGTGTTTTATGGTAAATTGACAGAGAAAAATAATAATTTTTTAAACACGATGTTTTAAAATCCTGGGACATATGGGTAGAGACATATGTATGTGTATAATTGTTAATAGGATTTTTAAAATGTCTAAATGTAATTATGCATAACACTAAACAGAAAGAAAATCAGGCTTACTTTGATATTATTGACGTATATTTACTTTAGAAAGATACTCTTACAATAGTTTACCAAGAATGCTGTTTTGAATTGAAGCGAGGTGCTCTACCCATTTGTCGACCGAAGAATAAAGAGTGGATCGGTTCCCTTGTTCTTCCAGGATGAGCACCTTGTTGACCTGATCGATTTTTCCTTTGATGGTGTTGTCGAGGATGCAGGAGACAAGAAGATTTTCAACTTCCTCTTCGTCTATGTTGAGCTGTTTCGATATGAAAGGGATCTTGAGCCTACGGTAAGGCTTGATTATTTTAAGCAAGACCTGCGAGCGGCAATTTTTCGTCAGCTGTTCGACGTGTTCGCGTATAAAAGGGTCTTCCATCAAGTTAGTTTTGTTGAGGCGCAGAACTGTCTCGAATTCGTTCAGGTTGCCGTTTTGGTACGCTGAAACGAGCTTTGTCATAGCGAGTATGTCCGGATCGTTTTTGTACGGCTTGGCTTCCTGGCTGTCGAACGGGTTTATGTCAGAGCGCATGAGCATATTCGCGAAGACGAGATATTTCAAGCAAGTCGTCCTCCTCGAACTGCCCGATTCGTCGTAATTTTTGAAAGCTTCGAAGAAGTCCGTGTGAGCTTTTTCGTACTGGCCTTCGGACAAGTGCATTTTACCTCCGCATTCTCTTATGACGCCCATTATCCACGGATGGGGGATCGCCGATTTGATCCTTAGAGACTGTTCGTATAGAGCTTTGAGCGTTTTGTTGTTCTTCTGGCTCGTGTACATCTGTATTTCCAAAGCCAATATTTCAAGGAGCTGAGTGCCTTTTTTCAAATCGTCTTCACCGTCGTCCGTCTGGCAAGCTTGCCTCAACTGCTTTATGATCTTTGCCAGTTTTTTATACTCCCCCATGTCGTAGTAGAGTTTTCCGAGTTTTGTGTTCGTCTTGAACCACAGCCTGTCATTTCTCGTCTCTTTCAACGCTTCCAAAGTCGTCTCGTAAAAGCTTTGCAAAAGTCCCATGTCTTTCGAGGACGAGACATAATCCAAGATGGAATTTATCGATTTCTCACTGTGGTTTCTTGTCACAGAACTTTTTATGTACGTCAAAAGTCTTTTATAGCTGGCCATCATGTCGTCGTATTTGCCGAGCTTGAATAATAATTTTATCACCTGCTTTAGTGCTTTAAAACCCCATTCGCCTTTCTGTTCTCCTTCCAGTTCCAATACTTTAAGAAAAGACTTTAAAGCCAGGAGCGGCTCACCTTTGAGCGCTTTCGAGTTGTAATATTGGTTCTCCAAATCCGCGTCCGGCTCGGAAGTGCTCTCCTCCGTGTACTCCAAATCGTATTCTTCATCTTCCTCGCTCACGAACACTTCGTCCGACATTTTTACCAAAAGAAAATGAAGCCTGAACTACCTCTTCGCGAGATCAGGTTACTCAGCAGCTAATAAAATCATAAACTTTGTGGGGCAAAAATAATTCAACGATATCTGGCAATTTTGGTTGTTATTTTTTGTTGGATTTGAAATTAAAAAAAAGTTGTGTTTACAATTGATATTGATGCGTATATTTTTATTAATAATTATTTTCAGTTTACTGCCGTTTAGTAAACTTTGCTGATCATGTGTTCCTTTGCTCGATTGTCAATGTCGTATGGTTGACATTAAAAATTACCCTAAAAGTAAATATATTGATTTTATCTGTTTTGTATAAGTTATACATTTTCAATTACAAAAAAGCAGCTTAATAACTGGTATGCTATATGCATTTGAAAAAAAAAAAAAAAAAAAAAAAAAACAAGAACCTTCCATCTTTTAAAAACAGTATTTTCTTTTACTTCATTTATTTATATCTACAGCTGTATTTGTATAACACACAACCAGCAGATTCGATTTAATTTAAAAAAAAATCTGCGTTATAGAGAAAGCTACCCATTGGCAGCTGCTATGAATTAATCTTTTAAGAAGTCAGGAAATACGTATGCTTTTCAGGTGCGATTTTCAGGCTCAAGTGCGCACGTGCACGTACATACATACAAACAGAGTTGTATATACACCTAGTTGAGCCTATTCGCTGTTTGTAGTTCACCGGCGATTCTAGCTTTTGCTATTTAAATAAATTGTCAGCAGACTCGAGAATCACCCACCCCGGGTCTTGGCAGACTGGGGGCAGACCTCAGACTTATCTGTCCAGCCACAGAGGTTGGGCTTCAGGTGCTATCAACAGCTAGGTCAATTCAGCGCAGCATGCAGTGCCAAACCCATTCTTACTCACGTTCATTATACATTCACTCCTGTTTACATACCATTCATTCAATTAGGGTGTTGGAGTACTCGGTATTCTTCCATAGACCTTCTCACATCTCACATTAACGCTAATATATACATTCACTCTTAACCCAAGCTAGGTATACACAACTATTATTTGTATATACAATAGAACAACCCCGTTTCCCCTAAAAATCGGAACAAGGACCCAAATTCTCGCTGTAGTGTTCAAGCACATTGTTAAATCGGGTGGCATTCCTGCGCGCTCTCTGTATGGAGAAATGGAATTGCACTCTTCAGTTAGGTGGGGCACATGAGCAACCTTTCTCTGCATGCTCTGTAGGCTTTGGCCCAAAAGTAAGATTCTCGCATGACCTATTCTTAATCGGATGAGGATGACCTTTCTTCTACGAGACAGATCTCCCGAAGGCCACCCATCGGCAGTGTTCTTGATACGCGAGAGCTTCTCTGATCCGGCCCATTGACGCTGCCATCTTCTTTTAATCATATTTTTTATTGCATTCTTAGCTTCACAGGGCCGGATCGCGGTGGATAGGTCCGGATGTTGGGACTTCCCGGCTTTAGCCGCCTCGTCCGCCTTTTCATTACCCTCCAGACCTATGTCTCCAGGAACCAAGATAACAACCACCGTTTTGCCGAACTCTCCAGCTCCTCGTTCTCTCCAACAACTGCACTGCGAGAAGGTCGACGGAAAACTGTCGCTGACCGCAGTAATCGCGCTGAGGGAATCGGTGCAGACTGAGTAGGCAGAGCCATCGTCTCGAATCAACCAAACGCGTGCCAAATCGCATACAGTTCTACCGTGTAACAGGCACATGTGCTACAGTGCGGCGCTTACTCCCATTTAACTTTGAGTAAGGATGTAAATGTAGAAAGTGTAAAGTTGTAAATGATAGTAATTAGGAACAACTGTAATCCTGTAGTTATTAATTATTAATTGTATAAACAGTATAAATAAAGAAAGGGACGAGCCTTGCAGGGGTAGAGGGGAAGACTGACTCGTCAGCGAAAAGGGTGACGACGAGTCAATCTGGTACGATCGAGAGAAGGAAATGCTGCTCAGCCTGCTCTGCCTCTATTTAGTTAAGTCCCCCTGCAAATCACCTTAAGTCATTTCCTACGCAACCCTTCCAATCCTCCCGATTACAAAAGTACTGGTAATTTTATTCTTCGGTTCATACAGGAAGTAAAGGAGGTCACCTTTCGGTGACGCTGACGATTGGCTAAACCTCTTTACAATACATTCTCTATATTATTCACAATTAAACATCCATGAGCAAGGCCAGGATTCGAACCCAAGACCGCTAGCATGGCATATACGAGTCGGACGCCCTAACCGCTCTTCCACCAATAAGGAGTAAAAAAAAACTTCAATTTTTAAGGCTTTTAAATTTTTTAAAATAAATTTTATTCACTGTTAAATAATTAATGTGTCTGTTTTTTAATCATGTATGCGGGTTCCAAGTTAATCTCTTGTCAAATGCAAATTCTATATAGGTAACTTTGACGGACTGAGAAATAGATTTGTTTTATAAGCATATGCTAGGAAAAGTCTCACGGGGTAGTATATTGTGATTTGGAGGGGTTAAACTTTTTTATTTTACCAAAACACAATACACCATCGCTACCTAGGGACAGACAACTAAGTCACAACCTTTGTCTATTGCCGCATGGATAACATAGCATTGACCTCCCAAAATATCTAAAAAGAAAAACTCTAAATTGCTGTTGGTCTGGGACGCCGGAAAGGGTGTTACTGACACAGAAAACAATGGTAAATTCTTGGTACATTCAACTCATGTTCAAATGTAGTTTTATATAATGATTTTAAATAATCAATGTTATGTTTGAGATTTTATGCTATTTATTTATTTTAAACTTCAATTTTTAAGGCTTTTAAATTTTTTAAAATAAATTTTATTCACTGTTATTGTAGATTATGTATCTGATGAAGGACGTGAGACGTCCGAAACGTTGTCAATAGATGTTTTGAACGAAGCATTTGGACTTTTCTTCTGGGGCCGCTCACCTCAACATAAGTTTAAAATTAGCAATTTTTTATTTTATTTTATTTTTTTGAAGAGGGTTCGCAACAGCAGAGGTTATATCAACACTCGGGGTGACGGTGTTTTTGAAAAAAAGCCCAATTCTAAGTAGGTCGGATTCGAATGCATGAATGCTGGAATCGAACCCGGGACCTTTACTTTACAGTGATGAGCGCCGAGACAACGCCTAAACCGTTGCGGCCACCGACGCCCCATCGTTAAACTTTATTTTTAAAAAAGGGTTAGAAGGATTAAACTTTATTTTACGAACATTGTTCGATTTTTCAATTATTGACATGTGGTTTTGTAATAGTATTTTTTTATATCACTTATCTTACCAAAAAACTTTAGTTTTTCTCGTATTACTCTTGTGTATCACTTTATCCATCAGCTGTACGTTTTTCCGAGCCTAATTCAATTCATCGGACTAATAAGAACTCAACCTTTTTCCCAATTTAATTTTCTGCCGCAACCTTTTAAGGCGGTTGGGGGATAACGAAATTTTCCGAGACGAAGGCAGGCCTTGCTGAAAGTCCCCAGCTCCCGCACCATATTGTTTATTTAGCATAAACATTCAAATCAAAATCTTTTCTGACGTGGATATACTATGCTCATCATTCTCTGAGATCTGATTCTGTTTGACATTTAAGACACCCTTATCACCACATTGGACGGCAAAATCTCTCTGTTTTTCTTGTTGAAAAGCCAGAGAAGTTTTTGAGCAGAAACAAACTTTACGTAGCTTTATTTTGTTATTAATTTTTTTCCTTAAACATTTGGCAGTATGAAATAACGTGTTCCAAAATAACATTTATGAAATTCACCGTCAATTCCGTCTATTTCTTCTAAATATAAATTTTTACTTTAATGGAGCCATGATATAAACAGGTTAGAAAATTTACATTTTCTACACAACCCACAATAAACAAAATTTAGGCAGGAGAAAAATTTGTTAAGGAAAAACTCAAATCTTATTACATCAGCAAGGCATTATAAGGCACTACACTCAGATTGAACAATAATAAAATAATAAGCAAGGATAGATAAAATAAAAACAGCCAATAAATAAATTATTATACAGGATTAACTTAATGAAGTGCATAAGAAGGCATGGCAATTAATTAATTTTTAATGTTAGAAGGTGCCCAGTAATATGATATCTCAGAACAATATCCTTCAGTCGTTTGTGCTTGCATTTAGAGTAATGAAAATCATTTATTTAACCATGTTAGTATTCGTTAAACACCTCTGTTAAAACCTTTTTCTTAGAGTGTTTATAAAAGTAGAAATAATTTTTATGTTAATGAAATATGCAAACAGTCGCATTGCTGTTTTTCAATTACAAACCAGGTTGTTTTTTCGGCATAACGATCCTAAAATATCCTAAATTTCACGTGAACAATTTAATAATTAATAAGAGGTAATGCATAAAATTTGATACCTAAAACAAAGACGTCATTAAGCTAATTAACGTTTTTTAATTTATTGAAGTATAATGTAAAAAATACATTAACCTTAAAATATATACTATTTTTTCTGTCAATCATTATTTTTATATTTATTGTGGATTTTTTACTCGTCGATAGGTATCAATTAGGGTAAAGAAAAATAAATATCTCCGAATTTCCCTGTAAAGTTTCAGTATTGTTGACGGGAAGTTAGGATATTGATTTCCGTGTCATTTCTATTTATGCTGGCAATACATAAATGTGCTAATACCTACAAGAATGTGGCCTTTAAAATAACACACTTGTGCTAATTTAGTTAACTTAATGGAGAAATAATATTTTTCAAACACATTTAAGAAAATTTTTTTATCAAATTTCAAAAATTCAATGAAAATATTTATTGAACCAAAAGGAAATCTATTTTTCTATCTGATAATCTATTATACTATGGGCTCTTTTCTGCACCACCGGCAACTTCTTATAATTTGTTGCACATGTCTAGACCATATAGGGCATACATAAAATGGTTACAAGCCTAATATATAACTGATATATACTTTTTTATATTTAAACTGAATTAAGGATATTTTTTAATTAAAAATGGGAAAACAGTTACTCATTGCTTTTAGAAATGCAAAACACTTTTTCCCATGATAGCCAAAATTTGATTTTTTATCCAAATGCCAAGGTATTTGTTTATTTTTGTTAAGTATCTTTCAATTAATTAAAGTTTTCAGTTGAAATAAAGAGTCAGTGTCACGAGCGGGATTCGAACCCACGACCTTCGGATAGATACGCCGCTACTCTACCACTTGAGCTATCGTGACTTCGATCCACGAGGACACCAACTTCCCA